GCAAACTATGACACTTTCCTCAAGTTTAATGAAGGAGACAATAATTGTTTGAAACTGAGTAAAATAATGTTAATTTCTGTAGAATATGTTTATGTAAAATAAACTGTGACAGATAGTATAGTATGGTATCTTTGGCATTGAAAAATACCATCAAATGGGGTAATAAGGGACGATTTTGAGCGTTATTCATTAATAACTTCCTACCAAGAAACATTTCATGAACAAGTTTGGGTTCATTTTAATGGCCTTTGCAAGGGCATCTCCAAAAAATATATAACTCAGTACTCACTGCAGTGAGTGACAGAGAGCTCATTTTCTTGTTGACAAAAACGTCAAGTCATGGATGGACAGACGGACATGGCAAGCACAATAGTGCATTTTTTCATGAATGAGAAAATGCGCCAAAAATGGCATTTCCAATATCTGCAATCCAATAGCATATCATATAGCATCTCCAAAAAAATTCCATATTTTGTAAGGTGCCAGACACAAAATAAAAGCGTCCCTCATTACCCTTGGGAACAGGGTAATCCGGGACACTTGAAATGAAACAATTTAAAAATGTTTGAGGCATGCAGAGTGTACTCATGACTCATCTATTACTGTAATAGCAGTACCGTCAACCGGGGCTACTCGGGATGGGCGGGGTAACTCGGGACAGTCCTCCAACATGGCGTAAAACTGTTTTAGTAACAAAACTAATTGGAATTTTGAAACTAATTGGAAATATAGTGGCGTAAACGACAACATTTTTCCTATCTACCGTAAAATGGGGTTACTTTGACCGGCGGGCTAACTTTGACCACTTTTCATTATTTTAACAAAAACCCCCAAAACTCAAAAACGATTTGTCATAGAAAAATTTTGTCCATGGCCATTAAAGGCCTAATACTGAGGCTATGTAACACAATCAAAAGATTTAAAAAGTTTGCATATCTAATAGGTTAAAAAATTAATAATGTGACCCACAAAAAAGAGCTATTATTTAAAGCCTGTCGGTGTACCCCCTGCAATTTTTTTATTTTTTTTGTAAAATATCTCCAGGTTTTGATTCATTGTAGTAGAACTCTTCTGGTTACCTATGCAAAAGCCAAATTTTTGGAAAGTGTCATAGTTTGCAAATGGGGGCGCTGCCCCCCAATGGGGGAACTTTGACCACCTAATGGCAGCCGTGACGGGGTAACATTGACCGGCCTGAAAATTAAGTTAAAATTACCATAGGTACCTACATATTATATTTTATGCTTGATACACCAACCAATGTTATTTTCTTCATGTTTCAGACTCTACAGAGTTTTATATATGGTAATTTTAACTTACTTTCCAAACCGGTCAATGTTACCCGTCACGGCTGCCATTAGGTGGTCACATTTCGCCCATTGGGGGGTGGCTCCCCCCATTTGCAAACTATGACACTTTCCTAAAATTTGTCTTTTGCATATGTAACTAGAAGAGTTCTACTTCAATGCACCACAACCTGGAGTTATTTGGAGTTATTTTACCAAAAAATAAAATTGATTATACCACCCAGTCAAAGAAACCCCAAGAGCTGGGGTAACAAAGACCATCACTTTTTTTTTAAATTACATCAAAACTATGAGAGGAAGGAGCTGCCAATTTATGGTGAGTAAAGCTAGAATATAGACCTGTATTTTACATGTTTCAATTTAAGTTTAACTTATCTAGTAAAAAATGGCATCATTTTGAAAAAAAGTGGTCAAAGTTACCCCATTTTACGGTATGTAGTATAAAGGAAGTTAAAAAATACTACATTTACTAGCTTTGAAAAATTCCTGAAAAAATGTTGAAAAATGATATTTTGAAAAGTTACTTCTGCTAAGGTCTGTAGTAAAAAAAAGATTTGCCGAATTAAAAAATTTCGCTGAGAAAAAAGTGGCAGACAAGTGTAAGCATGAAAACTTTATTTGCAGAATTTACATACCTTAATTAAAAAAATGGCGGCCATTTCTGCATGGCGGGGCTACTCGGGACACTCCCTCGGGGATATTTGGGACACCCCAAAAAACACATTTACAATAGAACCTCATTTAGCAAAGGCTCCAGTTAAGAAAAAAATTGATTAAAAACAAAGAATATTGATTACATTTACCTTGCTCAGCAAAAAAAAATTCACTTATCAAAAAATTAGTGCATCATCAGTCATCACAAAATTGTGCATAGAATGTCATATATAGAATTGTGCACCAGGCATCATAGAATGTAATATAATTGACCTAAACTATGATTTATTTCGCCAAAACATATGATGGTTCTCACTAAAACATTCCTTTCTGTTTCAGGTATGTTTTTCATGATTTTTTTATAGTAAATTCACTTAACCCTATTAAAATGGTGTGAAATTACAAGCCGTCCTGTAAGCTTACAGATACAGAAAAAATTCTATAAGGCTTCTGATATGAAGCTTGCAGTGGACAAGGTAGTTGAAATGCTCAATGGCCTGTTCATGGATATGGTAATATTGCATCAATAATACGGTAATTAATGTATATAGTAATATCATATCAATAAAGGAAAAACAAGTAAAAATCACAGAAAATCTCATTTATTCTACCTCTACATCATATACAATGAAAGAGGAGGATTTCAGATTACTGTTAGTAATGGATGAGTACACTCTGCACGCTTCAAATGTTTTAAAATTAAGTTTTATTCCAAGTGTCCCAAGTAGCCCCATTTGACGGTGCTACACAGGACACTCTCTTTTTGCTTATGGCATCTTACATATAGCATATGGAATTTTTTTGGAGAAGCCATGCGGTAGCTCTTTCAAAGAGCTTTGAAATGAGCCTAAACTTGTTTATGAAATGTTTCATGGTAAGAAGTTATGAATGAAAAACGTTCGAAATCGTCCCGAGTAGCCCCGGTTGACAGTACTCTTAAGTCCTCTGCATCCTTTGTAGATGATGTAGCTGTAGAATAAATGACATATTCTGTGATTTGAATAAATGACAGTTTCTGTGATATTTAGGTAGTACTTGTTTTCCCTTTATAGATATGATATTACATTATCCATACATTACTGCATTATGGTGTTATATTACTGTATCCATGGACATGCCACTGAGCATTGTCAATGACCTTGTTCACTGCAAGCTTCATATCAGCAGCCAGTAACATTTCTTCTGTATCTTTGAGCTTACAGAATGGCTTGTAATTTTGCACCATTTTAATTGGGTCAAGTGAATTCGCTAAAACAAAAAAAGATTGTAAAAAAACATACCTGAAACCAAAAGGAATATTTTAGTGACAACCATCATATTTTTTGGAGAAATAAATCAAAGTTTAGGTTAATTATTTTTCATTCTATGTTGCCCAGTGCATAATTCTATCTCTGACATTCTATGTGCAATTTTGTGATAATCAATTATGCATTAATTTTTCGTTTAGCATTGCAATTGCATTCAAATTTTTTGTTATTAATTGATTTTTTTTAACTAGAGCCTGTACTGATTGAGGTTCTACTGTAAATGCATTTTTAGGAGTGTCACTAATTACCGCGGGGGTGTCCCTTATTACCCCATCTTGTGGAAAAGGCCGCCATTTTTTAGAATGAGATATGCAAATTTCGTCCATCACATTTTAAAACCAACACTTTTATGAAAGTAAAATTTTTCAAAATGGCAAATATTTTTTCTTTGCTACAGACCTTTAGCAGAGGTACTTTTCTAAAATCTCACTTTTTTGTCCAAAAAATATTCAGGGATTTTTTGGAGTTAGTAAATGTATGATTTCTTAACTTACTTTATGCAACATAGATAGTAAAAATGTTGAACTTTAGACTGATTTTAGTTCTGCAATTTTTTTATTAGTTTAGCTGCTACAACATTTCTTTGAAATGTGGGATGACCGTCCCCATTTACCCCGCCCATTCCTTATTACCCCGTTTGATGGTAGGTCTGGATAGGCCCTGTCACCAATTCTTGTACTTGTGATTTGCTGATCTGAGGTAGCTGGTGAATTTCAATCTATCCCACTCAAAGTTCTTTGAAATATTGAGAAAATTATAAAAAATTCATTTGTGGGGATTTAATTAAAAAATTTCATAACCCGCAGCCAGCAGTCATATTCATTGCATTCATTGGCAATTCTCACTCAGTCATTAGTTTACCCACAAAAATCTCAACCCAGAAGCCCAGTACACCTATCAATCATATCTGTGTATAATCATATCTGTCGTGTATAATTGATGCTGAAGCAGCAATTATTGAATGACTTGGCAAATTACTTGATGACATTTTATTTTGAAATGGGGTTTGCTTCTACTCTAACTCTGGAAAAAATCCCTATTGCTTCATCAATGATAGGAATATTCAAAAGTTTAGTGAGAAAATTTGACTTCTTATTTTAGCATTTCCATTATATATATTTATGCATTACATTAACATTACATTAACCTATCTATGCCTATTCTTCAATGCCGAAGATACTATACTATACTAACATTGCAGTATTGCTTATCCCAATTATCCAAAATTAACTACACTTTTTTTCCTATAGTTTGCTAAAGTAAGAAAACAAGTGGCTTCTTAGGTCACTGCTGAAATTAGGTCTATCATCAAGATGAAACATCTGAAGCTCACACACTCTTTAATTTCATTATAGATTAAATGCTAGTTATGGTACTAATGTCTTAAATGCACTATTAATGAATATTAGGGAGCAAGACTAATGAACTAAAATTCAACAGAAGTTGATTCAGCCCAAAAGGGATGTTATAGTCTGTATCAAGGGTCGCACTAACTAGACCATACAAACACCTAAATAACACAAATGCCTAAATAATCTAAGAGTGGTGATCTAGAGTATAACCTAGAATAATCCCAATCTATTAAACACCTAAATAATCTAGAGAGGTATATGCTGTCGCCATTACTCAATGCTCCACTTAAAGTTTGCTACACTGACTCTTTAACTCTAAATAATGCCAGTGTACTGCATACAAACTTGTTTTTTTTCTAACATCAAAAAATGTCTTCACAGAATGATTGCCAACACTTGAGTTGCTTTCAATTATAACTTAAACTTTGTTCCTATTGAACTATTTTGTATCACAAATAAGCTTTAGTTTAACTTGAAACCTCCAAAATTCAATGAGTATCATAATGAATAAAATGAAGGCGAGCAGTGTTGTGATGCACAATGTCTCTGATGATGCAGTCAACAGCTGCTGGCATGCTGAGCTGAGCACCCAAATGTCTTCTGAATCTTGCAAAGTTGAGTCTGGTGTTGAGCTGCTGACTTAGGGGATTCATATATTGCTCACAATCATGTATAATTGAAAATAGTATTCTTGTTATGATTAAATAAAAGTTATTTAATTTACTAACTTGAAGATACTGCCCCAAATTTTGTGGGAGCTGTGACACATTGTTTGTCATCTGTAACTGTCTTGCTGTCTCATGTTCAAGTTTATTCATGATGTTGATCTATGTAAATTTATTCAGCTACAGAGGCCAGTGGGTCATTGCCTCCCCTATAAATGGTGGCAGTTTACATCAAAGAGGAGCCTGGAGATGGAGAAGAGGACATAGCTGTGAAGGAGGAACCAATTGATAACTATAAAAAAGAGGTAAATTTATCATTTGCATTAACCCCTTTGTGACTGACGGGACTGACATGACATGCTTACTGGTTTAGCATATAACTCGTATACAGCACAACATTCGAGGCACAACTAACTACAGGGACATATGAGAAAAACTCATTCACCGAAATATAGCAACATCTAGCATCTGACGTGGTTAGCACCACAGCAAACATAGCAACATCTGGCATCTGACATGGTTAGCACCACAGCAAACATAACAACATCTGGCATCTGATGCGGTTAGCATCGCAGCAACCATAGTGACATTTGGCAGCTGACCTGGTTAGCACCACAGCAAACATAGCAACATCTGGCAGCTGACCTGGTTAGCACCACAGCAAACATATCAACATCTGGTATTTGACATGGTTAGCACTTAGCACCACAGTAAACATAGCAACATCTGGTATTAGACATGGTTAGCACCACAGTAAACATAGCAACATCTGGCATCTGACATGGTTAGCACCACAGCAAACAGCGGTATCTGGCATCTGACGTGGTTAGCACCACAGCAAACATAACAACATCTGACATGGTTAGCACCACAGTAAACATAGCAACATCTGGCATCTGACGTGGTTAGCACCACAGCAAACATAGCAACATCTGGCATCTGACGTGGTTAGCTCCAATGCAAACAAAGCTACATCTGGCACCTGATGTGGTTAGCAGCAATCAGATGCCGCAGAAAACTCAGTATACCGTATGTGATTTAGTGACTTATATCCCAAATTTTTTCACTTAGTTGCATTTTATTATATATATTGACCTAGATAAGATATGTCAGATTATGTATTTCAGTGACAAACTTGTTCAGAAAAATCTAATTTTCTTGAATTATATCTTATGATAACAGTGATTGTAACAGAGTGTTTTCTTTTCAGGTAATTATGACGAGGAGGTACCTAACAAACAAGGAAATTGCGTCACTCTTGGAGGAAATTGAAAGTGATTTCAGCTCTAGTGCTGATATTGAGAGTGACCATGAGCCTGCAAAGAAAAACATTACAATGTTTTCTCACGATCTAGCAGCCTCATCTGACGATGAACGATTTGTGATACAGATCACTTCTGAAGAAAATGCCACTGATAGCTGCATCTCAACAATGCAAGATCAACCTAATCTGAGCAGAAATGTCAAAAGAAAGTGGAGGAAAAAAGATGAGAAAGCTAGCAACATTGAGTTCTTTGACTACAAGGAAAGTTACATGGACATTTCATCACCTCTTGATTCTTTTTTTTGTTTGTTTTTTGATAATGATTTGCTCAATAAAATTCATTATGATGCCAATCTCAAATGCACTCAGGCAGGCATGGCTGCAGATATATCTGTTGATTAAATAAAAACATTCCTTGGCATCAATATAGTAATGGGATACAACAGATGTCCAACAATTAATTCATACTGGATGACTGGAGATGACATTGGAGTACAGTGCTTAAAAGAAGCCATGTCAAGAGACAGGTTCTACAAAATACTGCACCACCTTCATCTCAATGACAACAGCAAGATGGACAGAAACAAGGCGAACTTTACAAAGTAAGGCCATTATTGAACATCTTGAAGCAAAATTTTGATGTCATGAGAGACCCACAAGAACATCTATTGGTTGGCGAATTGATTATAAAGTTCAAGGGAAGAAGCAGCCTGAAACAGTACAATCTGCTAAAGCCGATCAGAAGAGGCTACAAAGTCTGTTGTTTATCTGACGATGAAGGCTAAGTGTATGACTTTGATATTTACACTGGGAAAAGTACTTCAAAAATTCCCTGCAGAGAAGCTTCACTTGGATTTGGAGCTGATGTGGATGGACTCAAAAGCAGTTCATCTGATTTAAAACTTTCATGGAACTGAAAAATCGACTGTTTCCCATAAGCTAAAAAATGGTCAAAAATAATTGCAAAATCTCACCTCGCCATCAAAGACTACAATGAACACATTGGAGGGGTTGAAAGGCATAACCAACTACGTCAACTGTATGGCATCAAGAGGAAAAACATCAAATGGTGGCATCGCATCTTCTTGGATTGCTTGACATGGTGGCTATAGTCAACTCATTCATACTGTATAGAGATGCTGGACACCCAACGATTGCTCTCCTTGATTACCAAAGAGAACTTGGCACTGGACTCCTGACATTTTCAACAAAGCCAACAGCAAGCTGCAAGAGACGTAGAAAGAGTGACTTCTCGACTCCAGCTTCAGTGAGATTGTCCAATGTAGGAGTACATTGGCCTCAGTTCTATGTGTCCAGGGGCAGGTGCCAAGTGTGCTCGAAGAAGGGAGAAGAAGCAAGACCTGCCGTAGAATGTGAACACTGCAAAGTGCATCTATGCTGTAACTCTGCAAAAAACTGCTTCGAAGAGTTTCATCAGTGATAGACTTTCTGCATTGATAATAATATGTAACTGATTGCATTTTATTTGCTTGTAGTACATCAATAAAAGAACATAAATTATAGTAAATAAATTGCTACTTCTGTAACTTTTGTTAACTCCAAAGGAATATATTTTTACCTGATTATTGTGATAGGTTAAGTATTTTTATCTGTTAATTGCGATAGTTCATTATAAGCTAGTGCACACTTTTGCCAAAGGAACTTTGTGATATCATCTTAATATTTTTTTTTCTCTCACAAAGTTAGCACTTTTCACAATTAATATACAGTATTGGTGATAATGTTGCATTTCATGATCCCTAACTCTAAATTTGCCTGCATTTAATGTAAAAGATGCATTTCAACAAATAACAGCAACAGAATTGCAGCTACAGCAGCGCTGCTGCAAAATCAATTAATTATTAATTATTGTAGATAAATCTGTTACTTCAGTTTCAACCATTTACTACCGAGAATCTGTGGTCTCGCTTATGGAATTTTTAACATTATTATATATTTAATTTTTTCAGAAATGTGGAAAAAATTGCAGTAAAAAATGTTGAAAAATGTGGCAAAAATTGTCAGTCCAAATTTACCGTGATTCTGTTAAAAAAAAATTCAATTAAAAAGTTGTAATAGACATAGCAGTTAGTGATTTTAATAAAATGTCAAGCATGAAATTCACATGGATCTTAGGAATTGGTTCTCAGCTTGGGCAAATTAGCTCCTAAAGCTTGAGGGATTTATTCCTCAAATTTGTGTGAGATTATCCTGCAAATAAAGTTTGAAGAGGTAATTTGTGTCTGGCATTGGTACATTCACTTAAATATGATTATATAAAATGTTCATATTGCTCAATGAATTAATGCTTTGCATTATTAGTGCAACAGTTTTATTTTGCTTTCCTAATTCTTAATTGTATATTGTTTTAAACTAGTCAACAGTAATTTTGTTCATTACTAATTATGTTTGCCAGCGAACGAGTAAGAATCTTGTCATAAAAAAGCTATTTATTATTTGATGATCAGCAGTTCATTGCAATATGAGTTCTGTGCCAGCTAGTGAAGTTAGGCCCTTTCACATGGGGCGGCAAATATCGCATGCTTCAAAAAATGCAACTGTATTTACCAGCAAACCTCAGTGGACATACAAAATATACACTGCTATTCACACACGACAGATTTTAATGCAGCGTAGAATTTGATGTATGCAGCAGTTGCCGCTCTGTGTGAAAGGGGCCTTAGTCCTGATATACACATGCCAAGCATTGCTTGGTATATGGGTTCTCATGAATGCCATGGAGTTGTTTGCTGTGTGTAGCTCATTCATGTCTAGTCCAATTGTGGTCCCAAAGTATGAACTTGTGATGAGATTAACTTAAGTTGAAAATTAACAACTGACTGGTAATTAAGTTTTCATCTGATCTGATTGTATGTTAAGATGGTTTAGGGAATTTTTTATGTATCATATTTCTTAGTTCAATGTAATATAAGTTTATAAATTTTTTGCTTTTTAAGGCTAGTATGCACAAATGTGCCAAATTTTGAGATTCACTAATTTTGTAGTTTTTTTTTCAAATTTGAATTTTGAAGGACCAAATAGCAGATGAGGAATCTATATAATACAGTCATGACACCCAATAATATTTATAATTGCGTAAAATTTTCTAATTAATTTTAAAGATAACATATTAAGCTTCATTAAAAACCCATGTGATAAGGTTACTGATATTAATTGAAGATATAGGTATTATTTCTTTTGCATTCTTTACAAGCGCTGAAACAACTAAGATTTTGGCTAAACATATTTTAATTCATATTTCAGCCTTTCACTGCAATAGAGGATCTGCTATGTATGGCAGGATGAGCAGATGAATGGTGGTTAGCAAAATATGTTGTTCTCTAAATATTTTACAACATTTCTTTCCTCACACACTGAGTACATTTACATAAACATTTCTAATACTGAGCATCCTGTCAGTCTTGACTGGTGAAGGAGGCAAGGGCAGCGTCTTGCTTTCGACTGCCTTTAGTTGGGCAGTTTAGATTCATTTGTTAGTCGCCTAAGTCACGGGTTTGCCTCTCGTGTGTCAGCGTCAAGTAAGACACCAGCTCATTATTTATTGCAGTAGATGAGGAAGTTGATTGTTGGTGTTGTGGCATTCCATGCACTGAGTCTGAGCAACGTATTGTATGATGATATGATTGCTAAACATGGCCTAATGATTATCAGCTCATGACATTTGACCTCTGTTATAGTGCTCTTGTGAGGTAATAAAATATATACTTGCCTTTACTCAATACTCTAATAATGCGCAGGAAATCGTGAGCTCAAGCAGAATCAAGTGACCAGTGAAGCTCTCGTGGGAATTGCATGAAAATTTTATTTCAAAGGATAAATGCATTGATTTTTACCTATCTATTATAAGTCACGTATCTGCGCGGTATTTCAGGTTTCATAAGGAGTGAAGTACTATCTTGAAGTTAGATCATTTATATATAAAACAGCATTAAATGTCTTGTAAATCTTTATCACTGGAAAACAGAGCATATGCCTGAATTCTTCAAAGATTGTTTGTCTGGAGCCTCCCATGGAGCATTAAGAGTCAACTTCCATACATGGTATAATGGATACATTTTCTTTCAGCCTCTATACAAATGTGTATGTGGCCAGTTACTCATTGTTTGTTATTGGCATATCATTACGTTGACTTTCAAGTATGCAATGTTTCCTCCCGTAATGTTTGCTGAGTCTGAGGATGGTCTCATGCTGATGATTCCTTTTGGATTTTTGCAATTTTTTCAAGCCCCAATGTAACTTCAAGCCATTGTGCGTCAGGACTGGACGTGTGTTCACTTATTCCATCCTCTTTTATCCTTCCCATCAAACGTCAATTTGCATTTTTTACTGTCCTTTATACGTCTTATTTCACTCGAATCAAAAAATTTTAACACATGGTAGTTGTTGCTTTCATTAAAATTTCTGGTAATAGAATACATTGAATAGTTCCAAATAGATCACCTTGCATTTGAATCGTATTCTGTCGCTCATTCCTGCACAAATTGAACGTTTCTTCGATGCAATAATGATTCACACTTAATGTTTTCTCCTTGATAATTTTTATAACATAAACTATAGCCTCAGCAGGCGTCAGCGAAGAAGCTTCCTCATGCGTCTGCCGCCAGCTGCGAGTTGCGGTCTGTTATTCGTTTCCTGGTCGCCAGGAAGAAATCGGCGAAGAAAATCCACGAAGAACTTTGTCAAGTGTATGGAGAAGAGTGTATGAGCTCCGGGTTGGTGCGCAGATGGGTCAGAAACTTTAAAAATGGCCGAATTGACGTCCACGACGACGCCCGTGCAGGGTGGCCATCGGTTTCTGACAAACAATTGCCAAAGTCGAAGCAGTAATTCTTGAAGATCGACGGATTACAGTTCGAGAGCTATGTGAAAAAATAACTGTGGTCAGCAAAACCATAATTTACTAGATTTTGACTGAAAATTTAGGCTATTCCAAGGTCTGCGCAAGATGGGTACCAAAAATGCACACCACCAGCGGCAGCGGATTGAAGCAACCCAAGAATTTTTCGCTTTTAATGGAACAACGGAAGATGAATATCTGGACTTGGACTCTGTTGTTACTGGTAACGAGACCTGGGTACGTTACACCAACAAAGAAGCAATTGAAGCAGTTGAAGCATCCTCATTCGCCAAGAGCAAAGAAATTCTAACAAATCCTGTCTGCTGGAGAAATCATGGCGAGCGTTTTTGGAGATCGAAAGGGCGTATTTTTGTGCGAGTTAATTCCTCGCGGGCAACAATCAATGCTGACCGGTACTGTGTGACTTTGAAAATTTTTAGACGTGTAATTCAGAACAAGAGAAGAGGAACGCTGACGAAAGGTATACTTTTTTACCATGACAACGCCCGATCGCTCATCGCCAATCAAACCACAGCTCTCATCGAAGGATTTGGATGGAAAATGGCTTCCCACCCGCCCTATACAGTCCAGACTTAGCACCAAGTCACTTCCATCTTTTCCCGAGTTGAAGAAAAACCTTGGGGCAACCAAATTCCAGACAGATGAAGAGGTGCACAATGTGGCTATGAGTTTTCTACACGAAAAGGCGGCAGAGTTCAATATGACTGAGGTTTGAAAAAGTGAATACCTCGAATGCGGAGTGCATGGAACGCAACGGCAATTATGTAGAGTATTAAAAAATTTTTGATCTTTCCAAAAATGTACTTTTCCTTGCAATTAAACCAGTTTTTTATGTGAAATAATTCGTGGAACTTATTTTACGGACACGCCGCGTATTTTGTCAGGACATGTAAGTTTTGAGTGAGTTTTACAATTTCAATTTTTCAATTTATGTCGCATTGTGGTATATGTTCATGAAATGAGTTCAAATTTTGAACGAAATTTACACATTTTTACTTCACATTCATTTACCTATTCTCAAACAAGGTCCACCCTCGGAACCTTGGGTAGTGTTGACTGCAGCGCTTCTAGTGTAATTTTTTAGTTGTTGAGGCAAAATAAATTGAGTTATAACCGCCACGGGAGGTGATTATTGGCAAGAGAAAACCGCCTAATCAGCCGATACCAAGAAGGGCCCTAATTTATATATAAAATTGTAATTTACAACGCAACAATTTAATTTTCCGGTATTTCAGTACTATAAAATTAAAACGATTTTAAGGCTCTCGTGTATTTGTGTCGCAATTAAATGGTATAAAGTACCAACTCTGGCAACTCTGATGTTGACATCATGCCAATCGTCGTCAGCGGGTGACAGGTGCAGCTAAACATTGTTACTCCAGGCCAAGTCGCGTCGCGCAGTCGCTCTCCAGAGCTTGAAGATAGAAGTTGTTGGAAACTAGCTGGACGTCGTTTGAACGTTTTTGAAATGGTGGTCCCAATTGTCTTCTGGGCTCGTTATGAGCTTAATATATTTATATAGTCCTGTCAGAAAGCTTTATCGTGTGGTCATTTTAGTTCTACGTCTAACGGTCTCGTTAGACGAATTGAAGGACTTCAACTTCCCAAGTTACTGAAACAGAGTTCTATTAAACTTCAGAAACACTGGAAATTTCAATGCAGTCTATGCTGACTGAGCACAAAAAATACAAATCCTGCACCTGTAAACGTTCCAAGACGAACAATCAAGGGTTATGATTTCTTTATAATTCGCAATGCGTGGTAATGGGCTTCATGACTTCCCACATTTCCTCCTTCATTTTCGTCTAACTAAAAACTTTTAAATACATTTTTTACTTTGCGAATTGCAGAGGAATTCGTGCCCAAATTCTGGCAATAACCAGAGACAATAATTCCGTTTTTCTAAACACTTCCTGTGCCGGCATACAGGAATCAAATATTTAAATGAATTTCCATATTTATAAATCTTACATTTCATTTATCCAATGTGTAAAAACTGTGTGATTTATCATCATACACTATATTCAATGTCGAAATAAGCTTTTGGTGATGGGGAACTAACTTAATCTGATTTATCTTGGTTCCGAGCTCCGTTAATGAAACATTTTCTGTTAATATGTTCTAAATTGCCTCTCGTATATTTTGTTATGAGTTAACATCATATTTGCGGAGTATTGATATGAATATTTTACATGAACAACGCACAAGTTGCCGCTCGTTATTCCAACGGATGATGAATGCGAAATGCGAATCCGATCAAAAAAATAAGATAGTTACCAATAAAATCTAAAAAACTGTATAAAGTTAAGTTCCCGCATATGATGTTGATCAAAATTCCCGGTTTACTATACAATCGACAGCAAACTTGAATTCATATCATAACATTCATTTTGATTTTCTCATTCATATGATCACACGTCTCATGCAACAATCTGATGATTTTTACATGCCAAATGTTCATATTTGATGCCGGTCACGGCAAAATACCCGATGAGTATCGAAAATACTATAATGTCGTCTAAATAAATAAAATTTTAGTGGCGAATAGCCCGTAAGAGTAGGGAGTGCTATATAAGACTGAGAACCGCAGGGACGCTAAATTATCACATTGTATTGTGCATCAACTTACTGGGCTATACGTGACTTATTGACCACCCATTGAGCATGAATCAAATGCCCTTTTTTGAAAAGTCAAACGAGGTCATGAGAAAAAAACGCATGTCATGCTTTATAAGTCATTTCAACGAATGTTTAATTAGTCATTCAATTAATTAGTAGTTAACGTAAGTATTGTTTATGTCATTTAGTTGTGTAAGATATTTGTACAATGTAAATAGCGCTATTTTGTGTTCATTAAAACATTTCATTTCTCCATTGTTCCATTTTAAATATTCTTGTATTATATTCAGCTTATTTATTAAATATGCAATAGATGATTTAATGCGAAATGTCTTTTGTGTGACATACTGTATGACTCGATCTCGCGTCTCAAGTTATCTAAAGTTACTTGCGTTGAAGTTAAATAAAGTTCTCGCTTTAAGCGGGTGCATAAAAGGCAAAAACATTTGAGTTTTGAAAGCCCGTATAAAATTTAATCAAAGTGTCCTCTCAAATTAGGAATTCCTATTTATTACCTCAAGTTCCGCAATTAGTTATAGCTTGAGCTCAAGTTAGCAAGTAAGAGCCATACGTGAATTATTT